TGGCGGACAGTCTCAACGATTTGGTGAAAAGAAAAGGAGAAATCTTTGCACTCATTATGAAAAACATATAAACAGTCTCTTGTATACAGCATTTGATTTGTTTCGTCTATATCTCAATAATTTGTGTCACTTTTTAAGTATAATTTATTTTCTTATTAATTATAATAATATAGTCTCTCATCTAAAAACTAGACTTCCCTAAAAACTAGACTTCAGTGCCCTCTAAGTGAAAGGGCGCCGGCTCTTCGGCGTAACCCTCGTCTGGCGAGTACCGGACGACCGTAGGCTGTCCGGCACCGACCACCTGAGCCACTGTTGGACTCCTTTTCCACTGTTGCTGTACAGCGGGGTTGGATGGGTTGGATGGCTGTGGCAGTGATTCTTGAGGTAAGTACTGATTAGTAGACATCGGGTATTGTATGGGATAGGACTGGGGGTCGTAAGCCATTTGCTGACTGGTCTGGTCGTCTTCGAACGTATGGTTCTGGTAGTTGTGATACGAGGGCGGGAAGGCCTGTGCGGCTACACTGGCCGGCAGACCCGTGCAGTAGCCGTCCGCGTCGTACACCTCCTGATAGTTATCGTAGTTATAGTTATACTGTTGGCTCACATCGGGTGCCAATTGCGTAAAACTTTGGTTCCCAACCGATAGTTGGCTTTGATTTTGATAACCAATTGTTGGCATCATTTGTGACGTAAAGTGACTTTCGTTATAACCGTTTCCTAAGACAATGTAAGTTCACATGAAATTAGTCTCATTTTTCTGTCAGTAAGGGTTAAGACTTTAATGAATATTTCGTATCAATAATTACCGGCAATATTATTGTGATATCCATTCAAATCAAACCCAGTCTTTGTTAAGTCCGGAGTCATACCTCCCGACCCATAACCGGAGCTATGATTTCCATTCTCTGGCTTCTTGTCGATGCCATCCTTTCCAATGACCGTTACATGACTTTTAAGTCCCGAAGACTCGCACTTCACGCCCGGCGACAGATTCTTGAGCACCGATATGGGAGAGGGCTTATCATCGGGCGGGTGGTGCGCACGACGGGAACGGATCAAGAATATGGTGACCAACACGAAGATAAACACCAGGGATGACAGTATGCCGACCACAGCGCCGGCCACCTCGACCTTCGACCAGCCGGACACCACTCCGAAGGGGAGCGGCATTACTGTGATCGTGAAGTTTTTCGTGGCAATACCGGCCCTATTTTCGGCCGAACAGATGAATGACTGCGAATCCGATTCCTCTAAACCGGCGATCGTTAGCATAGAGTTGACGATCCCTTCGCTCTTCTCCTCGTATAAGAAGAACTTCTCCCCTCTCACCAAATGGGACGACAGGTTTCTATAGAAGCCGTCGTCCACATACCTGTGCAACACATACATGCAAATCAAATGTTAATATCTTATATAAAGTCTAAAAGTTTTGCGTCAATGAGAGAAACAATTATTTCTTAAACCCAGTGCTAAGAAGTAAACACAAAAAACAGAAACAAAAGCGAAAATAAATGACAGGAACTGAAAGTCAATTACCAATAGATCTTCGGTTGTGGCAGTCCTTTGACAACACAGGAGAGGGTGGCGTTGGCGCCGACATATTTGGTCACTTCAGTGGCTGTACTGATGATATCTGGAGCGCAAGCAAAGTCGTCGATGTCTAATGAGTTCCACATAAGACCGGAAACTCTTTGTGGCGTTTGACAGGTGGGAGGTATGGATTGGGGGACATTGTTTCGGAGCATCCATTCCCGCGATGCCCTCAGATCACAGTCACAGTTCCACTGGTTTTTGTGCAAATCAAACGAATAGAGGGGCGGCAGGTCTGCCACCACTGTGATCGGCAAAGTGGTCAACCGATTCGAGTCCAGCTTCAGGAACTCCAGTTTGTCTAAACCGCGAAATGCACCTGGCTCTATTAGGTCGATTTGCGAACCTAGCAAAATGAACAAGATACATTAATTACTGAAAACTCTCTCTCTCTCTCTCTCTCTCTCTCTCTAATTGAATGAACAAAGCGTTCAATACCTGAGAGATCCAAATACTTGAGTCCATTGAGCGGCAGAAACGCCTCGGATTTAATCACTTGAATGGGGTTCTGGTTGAGGAGGAGGCGTCTGAGGTTGAAGGCGTCCCTCAACGGTTTGGTGGGCACTTGTGTCAGCAAATTGTCGCTGAGGTCGAGCTCAATGAGGTTCGTGAGTTGGGTGAAGGCGTCCTCCGCAATGACCCCTAACTTGCATTCCGCGAGAAACACTTTCTGCAGGTTTATGAGTCCCCTCTCCTGAAACACTTTCGACGGAAGGATTTGGAAATTGTTTTTATTCAGAGACAGCACTTGAGTGCCCGACGATATGCCCGACGGAATCGATATCAGCGACTGCTTCTCACACATCGCCGTCTGCTTCCCATTCCTCCAAATGCATGAACACATCGACGGACAGGTATTCGTCGACTCAGCCCACGGCACCTGTGTTACGGTCAGCAATAGTGTCAATAATAACACTTTTAATGTCTGTTTCGGTACTAATGTGCACATCAAGTGCGATATCGATGTCTGTTGTGTCGATGGCATGGCTTTTGAATCAATGCTTTTTGTGTTTCGCTTTAAATTTATAGTTGACTTGACTTTTGAAATAAATTACTTTTAAATAACTTATTTAAAAGTAATAGAAGTGTAGAGAAATTTCACGGCTCTCTGGACTCAAAAATCCAATTTTAGTCAATTTTTTGATAAAACACACAACAGTTTAATATTTCTATACACAGAATATACTGTATATATAAATGGAGTTGTATTTCGAGGAATAACTTCCGATTCTTGCGAAAAGAGTTGAGAATATCTTATTTCACTCTTTATTTTCAAATGTATTTACTTTTTACTCAAAAATACCAATTCTTGTCGAGTTCTTCGAGTCGACGGATCGGATCCGATGGTTAAGGGACTGACACACAGCCACACGACTGACAACTAATTCTCGGAGGTATTTAAGTGTCACTATTGATATATAATCAGTTGAATGACTCGAGACTTCCCTTATATCTATGTGTCTGTAGTTTCGGATACAACTCTCAATAGTATTAACCGAAAAACACGAGTCAAGACTTTGTGAGACAAAGTTATGGCCAAAATGTGTCTTTACTTTTCGTAAGTCAATAGCTTTTTCGTATAGTTTTTCATACGAATGCTATTTCTTTAAACCAAAAAATCAGTAGTCATTTAAACACAAACTATATGTCACTTATGGTTACAATCCATTAAAACTAGTGAAGTGTCAAACATTTTTTCACTTAAATTTGATGATATTTTTGTTGAAAAACACCTTTTTTGGCTCAAATACTGCTAAATATTTCTGATATTCTTCGCAAATACTCTCCAAGTCTTCCGGTTTTCCTCTGTTTTTGTTAAAATTCTTGCGTTTTGTTTGACAAATATTTTTGTTATTTAACTTTTTGTCCAGTAATTGAGAAAATGTTGTTTTTGTTTTTTATCTTTCGTCTCGATTTCTGTTTAAACGAATAGAAAGAAAATATTGATTAATAAAATAGCATTCAATGATTACATTCATTGGGAAAATATGATATAAACTTTGAAAAATATCATATTTTCGTAGCGCTTATAGTGTGTACCGAAAGTTATAGAGAAAGTCACGAATTCACGAAAATTGAATCAATATTTTTGACAAAATATCGTTAAAATTCACACAAAAATGTATGATTTTATTTATAAAACGTGAAGAAAGTGGTGTTGAAAATAAGCCACAATCTACTGTACGTATAATCCGTGTTATAATTATTTATTTTTTCCACTCAAACCCCTTATCAACCAATTTCAGGAAACTTTTAATTTTCCAAAACAGTATCCAAAGAAAATAAATAATTAATAATAAGTGGCGATAAATACTTTTATACCTAATGACCAGCTGTCGGTATTTAAAGGATTAAAATATTTTCAAACGGCTTTCCACACAATCATATGATTATTAAATGAAAAGGAGAGCACTTGGACCTTGGATTTCAATGACTAACTTAAGTAAATTTCATAAACAACAAAACTCGCTATATTTTTATCATAATATATACGGAATCTTAATGTTGTGTAAAAATTGATGATAAACTAAATAAAGTCTATTTCCAGAAGTGTATTGATTGATGTAATGCAGACATTAAATGACTATTCAATGAAAATATATGTCTTTCCCATAACTTATAAATACTTATATATTATTTAGTCGCTCATAACAGACATAAAAATATCTTTTCACATAAATTCATAATTGGCGTCAAATAGTTAACAAGTTCACAAGAATTATAAATTTAACTAAATATAAAAGTTTTAATTACACATAAATGTTGGCTAATCATCGATCCATTAAATAATATTAATTGACACACAAATGAATTGTACAAGAAATTAACTGTCATCCGAGACAATTAAAATAAATTAGACATGAAATATAAATAATTATTACCTCATATAATATTGTTTGAGAGAAAAAAGTGTCAGACATTAAATAAATGGATGACTCAAAAAATGATGGTTTACTAAACCATTTAGTTTAATCATAATTAATGTCATTAATGTGTTTACTATTAATAAACGGATAGTATTTCCAGACCGGCCTTTCAAAACATATTTATTGTTCACTCATTTTTATCTCAAGTAGTATTATATAAAACAAAAATCATTATCTTTTTTAATAAAAGTTGTCTCATAGAAACAAGGGAAATTATAGTTTAATTAATGTCTAATTGATTTTGACACGCTTTCGCATAATAGCTAATGAACGGTAAAATTGATATTAAATAAAATTTCATACTTTTGTCTGTCTATTGAACTACAGTAATGGCACAAAACATAATATAAATGCGAGAAAACTATGCTTTGTTTAAAATAACAATATATTATTGATAATACAGAAAGTTTATTTAGATGTTATAGAAACAGGAATCCAAAAATTGAAACATATGTTATATTTTTAATATAGTTTTCTATACATTTACGAGAACCAAATGACTATAATTTCGCATCTCTCTCTCCCTCTCTCTCTCTCTCTCTCTCTCTCTCTCCTCTCCTCTAACTATCTTATTATTGTTATGATTACAATATTTTTTAGTTGACTTTAATTTGGCATCAAATGAGTTCTCAGCCCAATGTGAGAGAGAATGGGAATAGGATTTCGTGTTTTATATTATACACGTGTGTTCACAGCATAAGTACTTTTTTGTGTAGAATATTATTTCACTTATTTGTTATAATATAATATACAGTTATTTTTTGTTTCGCATATAAAAGGGTGAAAAATAGGCAAAAGATTTATTATGCTTTTGAACACAACGGGAGGAATGAATTGTATTGAATAGTAAAGTGCGGCACAAATGAACAGAATATAATGGTTGGGGCGGATGACAGGAATGGTAGGAATGGTACTATTCTTTCGCATAAATGACTGCTTATGCACAGTGTATGCACTGGTAGTACACAGACATAAGAATATGTAATTGTATTGTGATGTGAGAATCGCGTGGACTGTAAACTCCTGTTCCCCACTCTCTTACACATTGAATACGAGAATAAGTCGTGAAAAATAAGATGAGTTATTGTGAATCAATAGGATGTGAAGTGATTAGCGTTTGGTTAACACTGACCATCAAATGTCAATTATATTACAAACTTTTGTTACATTTGTTAAGATTTTTTATATGAAACTAACAAAACAATTAATGAATGTCTAAATCGTTAACATAAAGTATTTTTCCAACCCATAAGGTATGAGACAATAAGGAAATGAATGCGAAATATAATAAATTAAGTCAATAATTAGACCACCAAAAAAGTTTTCATTTGAAATTATAGGCGTTTTAACACTATTTATAAGCATAATAGTAAAGTGCGGCACAAATGAACAGAATATAATGGTTGGGGCGGATGACAGGAATGGTAGGAATGGTACTATTCTTTCGCATAAATGACTGCTTATGCACAGTGTATGCACTGGTAGTACACAGACGTAAGAATATGTAATTGTATTGTGATGTGAGAATCGCGTGGACTGTAAACTCCTGTTCCCCACTCTCTTACACATTGAATATTGTTTCGCCAAAACTTCAAATAAGTCGTGAAAAATAAGATAAGTTATTGTGAATCAATAGGATGTGAAGTGATTAGCGTTTGGTTAACACTGACCATAAAATGTCAATTATATCCCAAACTTTTGTTACATTTGTTAAGATTTTTTATTTGAAACTAACAAAACAATTAATGAATGTCTAAATCGTTAACATAAAGTATTTTTCCAACCCATAAGGTATGAGACAATAAGGAAATGAATGCGAAATATAATAAATTAAGTCAATAATTAGACCACCAAAAAAGTTTTCATTTGAAATTATAGGCGTTTTAACACTATTTATAAGCATATAATGAATATTTAGTCCTTTTAACTCATATACTAAACTATTATGGTTTTTAATTAATAGAAATAAAAATAACTCTAATTTAATATAAAAAGATAATTACTTTTTTGCAAACAAATTATAATTTAAATGCAAACATACGGAGCAAAACAGCCAACCCATCGACAATACAATAGAATTGGGCCTTAATTTGCAAAGACATGACTTCATCTAAACATACGATTCTTTGAGCTGTAAATACTTAAGTGCTTTGAATCACAAAATTAATTTTTTATTTTATTTATATATTCGTAAACATTATATTTTCATATAATTATACCAAATTAAAGGTATTGTACGCTAAATGATTTTAGTACCTACAAATGTACTCTATGACAAACTATTATGGACTGTTTGTGGACATTAAATATTTGAAATTTTCTAAATTACAAATCGACCCGTTTTGTTGCAAAAGTTAACAAACTTTTTTTTGATTACTAATTACAGCCATTAATAAACTCAAATACATTAAGCCGGCGCTAATGGTATCAGTGTTTTATTAACTTTTATAATAAGTACTTAATTGCTACCAAAAACTGACCGCAAAGTTATGGCATTTTATTTGAATATTTTCATATAATAACCAAAAGAAGAAATAAAACACAGAATTTGGGTCCAAAAGCATGAAAATTAAATTCAATTAATCAAAAGAAAATCTAAAACAACAAAAAATAGACAAATAAAGTTTGCGTCGAATATAATAGCCTTCTGTCACGTAAAACACATAAAACAAGAGCACAAATAAATAATAATATATTTTTATGTCGAGAGCTGTGTTTATACACCAACTCTTTTGCCGAAAAATATCTATCCGTTAACTACTGTTTAGTGAATTACGAGAGAGAGAGAGAGAGAGAGAGAGAAAGAGAGAGAGAGAGCTGATATGTCACAACTGAGATGACATAAGACTAATCTCGGCAATCAATTGCCATTCATTAAGATAATGTCCACTATTTTTTATACCCACTCCTTATATTGAGTGTAGTTTTTCTCGGCTCTCATGTTGTGTTGTGTATCAGAAAATATATAATAACACAACAAGAGATTAATTTTCAATAAAACAATATCTTCAAACACATGAATCTTGAGACTTTTGTGCCCATAATTTATTGCTTAAGA